GATAGCAAAATAAAGCAAAGATAGTACCAATAGTTATAGGTGCCCTGGGCACAATCCCAAAACATCTGGAGCCCCACGTGAAGACCATCAGCATTAACAAAATCAGCATCAGTCAATTGCAAAAGGCAGCTTTACTTGGAACAGCTTACATTCTGCAACCATACTTTTAATACCATCAAAAAAAAAAAAAATCTACCTATCCCAGGTCCTTGGGAAGGACTCAACAGGTGGATAAAAATGTCAAATCCAGCCTAAACATCTGGCTGACTGCATGACCAACAATATAATTCTATGAAATAGTTCCTACCCCATGAACAACAATTAAGCATGTGTGCAGAAGCAGTTAATGAAACAGCTCTACCCACATTATCTCTTACTTTGGCAATGAAAGAGTTTTAGTGATGCTTGGAATTCCTCATGACACATCCATAAATGGAAGTAATGGCACAAGGAATGGATGGATCAAGGAAAGGTTGGATGAAGGAAATCCTGATCCAATCAAGTCTTGTCCCAAAGCTGTCTCTTGAGCCTAAAAGTCTCACTAGGAGTGCATCAATATTCAGTTGTGCCTCTGTTACTCTCCTTTTATATATGACAACTCTGACCTACTGAAATAACTTACTGAACTGGAATATCATAGTCAACAATCCCAAGATGATTCTGCCACATTTACAGAAAGTTGTGTTCCAAAGAAGGGAAAAATAGGGCAGGTTTTGTCCTGGTGAGTGATGCTTCTTTTCTTCTGGCCTGACCAGATTAAGGGTGCTTTCTTTTGGGGCAGGAAGAGTCTTTTCAGGTCTGATGGGGTTATGTTAAGGAGGAGGGTAGCTGGGCATGGACCTGATCTTGTTTCTGAGAGCCTGGGAGGGATCCTTCATTTCTAGTTTGCCACAACAAAGTGTAATAACTAAATAAATATACAAATAAATAATGAAGGTACAATATTATCCAATCAAAAACATTCTCTTCTTTCATAATGGACAGGCTCAACCAATTTCTCTGTGTAATAGCAAGTGCCATCCAGGATACAGTAAGAAAAGGATAGAATCAAAGCCATTTTGCTGCTATGATTGTCTTCGATGTCCTGATGGGAAGATTGCTAACCAGGAAGGTAAGAGATCTTGTGCAGAAAGCTGAAAGATCTACTGACATCAGTACTCAAAGGCATTTCTTCTTTTATTATCCAAAAATAGATGATGATGGTGATGTTTTAATTCATCAAGGAATGTCACAGTATAAAAAAGGGAACAAAAAGATTCACTGTTGGGTTGTCTGAGTTTATTTTATGTATGTATGTATGTATGTATGTATGTATGTATGTATGTATGTATG